TCAAAGTTTCCAACCTGTTTATGACGGCGATTTCGCACTAAATCGCTTCTCACATCGCGTGCAGTACACTGCACAAGAACTATTTTACATTATTCGCTGTTTACTTTGCGGACCCGTTCTCCATTAAGCTTATTTTAATCTCGTTACTGTAAAAATATATACGTTTAAAGAAATCCGATTTTCTTTAGGAGAATAAAGTTTGCGATATAACGATTGGTTATTTGCAAATAACGTTGCGAGGAAATTATCTTTGCACACGTAGAACGTAAAATCATCTTTCGCAAAGTTTATGAGTAGTAATGATTTTGTCGTAGAACACTGCCCTAAACTTTTTGAACCCTCCAGTTCAAGCTCATTCCATTAATGACTTAAACTAGAACATTTTTTCTAGACAATTCTGTCTAGACATTCTTTCTACACAAATACATGTACGCATGACAACTTACCGGATTAATTTAAATGATAAAATGACAAGTTATTACTTCCATGAAGATATCATCTATTAACGATAATGTTGTGCCGATATTGAAGAATAAATAATGAATCTTATAGATAAGCTGCAAATAATCAATGAAAATGGGAGGGTTCCATTAAAAAAATTTAAAGTGATCGATCTAAAAATAAAAATTGTATTATATTTGATAGGCTCACATATTAGCAATGTCTATTTCATTGAATTCAACAACAGAATTACTTCACAGTGGCAATGCAGCGGTATAATATTTAAATAAATTGAGAAATTTATATTTCTCATTTTAATAAGATTTAACAATTTAGTGATATTTAATAATTGATCATAAATTTGGTAAAATAAAGTTCTTTGCGCTAATCCACTGAGACGCCTAATATATGTTCTCGCGTCGACAACAATATAAATTTACGTAGGAAAACTTAAAAAACTTACACAACACAGTTGTAACAATAAGTGAGGGTACCAATGTATGTGCCTAAAGATATTATGCCTAGAGATATTACACGTCCTTTTTTCAATAGCTTGATACACATAAAGAATTTCTTATAAAAGCATGTTTTGAAAAAAATCGCAATAAATAAAGTACTTGAAGAATAAAACTATTTTTTCTATTCAGCAAATTTTTCTTCGTTTAATAATAAAAAATCTATTGCTGTGTCTACAAATATCGTAAAAAGGATGTTAACAATAAATGCATTTATGATTTTATTTTTAAATTGGTTTCAAAACTTTCAAAGAATTAAACAATACCATCAACAAAAATATTGATAAATTCGAAAATTTAAATCAAGAAGCTCGATAATAACACTTATTTACAAGTCTTTTTACTAACTATCAATTTTCTAGTTGAATCTCAAAAGAAATTATATATAAAAATATGTAATTAATAAGTCTAACGATAAGATAAACTGGAATCTATTATTACAGAATTTCGAATCACAGAATAATGACTTTCTCGGGAATTGTAATTTACTCTGTACTACTATCACACTGTTTTAACAATAAAATATTATCAACATACTCTTTTTAATCAAATATGTGTTTATTAAATAAAACATTTTCTAATTTTTTATATCTAAAAATAATATTTTACGCACCTAAAATTTTAATATATAATAACTATATTTTATAAACTATGTATATTTTATTAAAATTAATAGAATTCAAAGATAAAAATTTTTTGATATCATTTGTTACACAAGACTGTGGAAAATTTTCTTTGCGTTTGAAGGAAATTCAGTCGATATCAATTATATATACATAATCCTACCATACACCTAGGCCAAAAAAAATCATGCGTCATGTACTTAAAATTCGAAGGAATCGTAGCGTCGCATACATTTCGAAGGCGGCCTGAAAACCTGCTCGTTGCAGGTCCTGTAGAACACATCTTTCTCTGTTCTTTCTTCGTCCTCCTTCTCTCTTTCTTCTCCTCCCCTCTCACTTGTTCAGTTTTATTTACGAGGAAGATGCGTGCTTGCCTGCACGAAACACGGGCATTCTTGTGCACGTGTCGAAATAAACCAAATACAATAGCTATCGCAGGCCCGAGTTTGTAAGACCTGCACAAGAATAATCTAAGTATGTGAGATTACCGTATCTCACAATCGGCCGAGTGATGCTAGTCAATTAGGGAACTGAATGTGAACTGAATAATGATAATATTTGATGATAATAATAATGATGAAATGTTAATGGACGTTTTGTATATGCTTGATCGTGAGGTTACATAATTAATCAAAGAGTGACAAGATACAAAAAACGAAATGAAAAGGTTAAACCATGGTTAAAACAGTTGTTTAAACAATCAATAAAAGAATGTAAATCAATGAAAAGTGCGGATTTTATTCTCTTTTTCATGTAATAACAAAAATTGAAAAGTTTTTAGTAATTGTATTACAAATTGTATTATGTAATTGTCCATATATCTTTAATTACTTTAATAAGAAGAAAAGAAAGCCATATTTCTTCTTGTCATTCTTTGCCTATATCTTTATCATTCTGCTACTATGTATATATATATATGTATATATATATATATATATATATATATATA